TCCTTGCAAAACCAAGAATCTTTCCTGAAGTTTTTAATAGTTTTACCTTTTCAAGTTCTGAATTTCAGGACTTGGCTCTGTGGCTTTTGAAAACAAATCCCAACAGGTCTTGTGGGAGAGACTCCAGATAAGTGGAAGTTTACAGCTAGCATCAAGCTGATCTCCTCCTGAGAAAGTAGGAAACCCACTGAGGACCTAAGAGTAGATCCACTCAAAGAGTAGATCACTACTGCAAATTAAAGCACATGCTTACTCCATGCTTAAGGAGGGAGCACGCAAGCAATTGCATTAAATAAATACCTGCATGTAAACAGGAAGGTGTGATGTTTCCCACCTTATGCTAAGGTAGTTTGAAAGGACTTCTCCTATGAAGACGCTGCAAGGGAAAATTAGGGAGCAGAAGCTCAAAAGAAAAAAAAAAAGCTAAATACAATAGGTCATGATTCCCTTTATTATCTAAAGAGGGAATGCTCCATAAGAATATTAAATCCACTTTCTAAGTTAGCTAGAACCAACTCTTTGCCCAAATCCTGCGATTGTTAATGAGGAGGACCAACACAACTGGATTGTTTAGAACACAATTCTAAACATATTTGTTTTCCAACAAAATATTTGATCTGCTTCAATGGACATAATTCATTTTAAAGTTTCTCCTTCTTATTGCTTTACCGTGAATAACAGAGTATTTTACTGTCCACTGCAAAGCTCACATTAAGCTGCATTGCGAAACTGGCTTGGAAAAAGACCCTTTGTTCTGTTTATATAAATAAATCAGTCTGTCTGGATACAAAGCCCTTTAGATGGATTGTATTGGACATTTAGAGAATCCAGAAGGGGGAAAGGGAAAACAAAGACTCCGTATTGCCACTGGACTGCTTCTTTCGGCTTCTTTATTCTTCTGCTTTTGGCTGCACGCAAGGAAAGCACCAATGTTTTTTCTTTCTCTCTCCCAATCCAAGGTGATAAACCCATTCAGCCTCACTACACATCCCTATGTCTAAATGAGTAACACCCACCAAACTCACACTAAAAATAACTATTACATTATTCTCTAACCAGCATCGCCAGGTCAGTGAGTCTTACAAAATACACAATAGCAGAGTTGGAAGGGACCTTGGAGGTCTTCTAGTCTAACCCCCTGCTTAGACAGGAAACCCTGTACCATTTCAGACAAATAGTTGTTTAATCTCTTCTTAAAAACCTCCAGTGATGGAGCACCCACAACTTCTGAAGGCAAGCTGTCCCACTGGTTAATTGTTCTCAGTCACTGACAGGAAATTTCTCCTTCATTTTAAGTCAGATCTCTCTTTTTGTTAAACTTCCTTCCACAATATCCCAACAGCTTAAAATGCCGTCTTCTGATTTTAACCATACCACCTCTTCTATAAAAAAAAACCAACCAACATCATCTGCATGATTGACGAGTTTCTTAAACAAAACAAAAGTTAAACTTCAGAACTTTGCACAGTGAGGGGAAGAAAAGTGTATTTTTGTCTCCCTCTTACCCGTCTCTTGCAGTTGGATGTGCAACGATCTCCCTCGGTTCCTTTCTCTCACGCCATCCAGGAAATCCGTCTTAACTCGCTGCAAACTCGGCTGCAGAAACAGCCGCCTGTTCTTTGACAGGTCAGGGGGCTGGGCTAATGCTGCCCAGATGTGGGGGCAGCTGAGGCTGCCCAGAGCCTGCTTTAAGGAGGGGGGGGAAAAGAAAGAGAGAGAGAGAAGTGGCTGAGAGACACACACTTTCCTAAGAGGCGCACTCAGCTCCAAGGTTGCAAAGGAAGCAGGGAAGGACCGGTTGGGAGTCTTTCCAGATGTGCAGCCTGGAGGATGTCTCGACGTGCCAAGGGAGGGTTGCAAGATCAAAGCGGCCAGCCGGGTGGACGTGTTTCTTCTCTGAACTTTTAAGTGCAATGCTCGCTTCGGTGCCAGCCTGGATTCTTCAAGGGCAGCCGCGTGGGAAGAAGGCTTGACAGCTCAGTCTGGTTTGGAAGAAAGTCTAGCGTAGAACTGGTGGCTTTCAGATGTTCCCAACATTGGAGGTTTTTTAACTGATTAATAGAGTTGGAAGGGGCCTTGCAGGCCATCTAGTCCAACCCCCCACCCAAGCAGGAGACCGTACATCAATTCTGACAAACGGCAGTCCACTCTCTTCTTGAAAGCTTCCAGTGATGAAGCTCCCACAACTTCCAAAGGCAATTTCTATTCCATTGCTTGATTGTTCTCATTGTCAGAAAATTTCTCCTTGTTTCTAGGTTGAACCTCTCCTTGATCAGTTTCCATCCATTATTCCTTGTCTGGCCTTTGGGTACTTTGGAAAATAGCTTGAACTCTTCCTCCTCTCTGTGGCAGCCCCTCAAATATTGGAAGACTGCTATTATGTCTCCCCTGGTCCTTCTCTTCCCTAGACTAGCCCTGCCCAGTTCCTGCAACGGTTCATCTTATCTTTTAACCTCCAGTCCCCTAATCATCCTGGTTGCTCTTCTCTGCACTTTTTCTGGAGTCTCAACATCTTTTTAATAGGGTGGTGACCAAAACGGGATGCAGGACTCTAGGTGTGGTCTTACTAAGGCTTTATAGAGTGGTATCAGTACCCCCATAGATCTTGATTGTATCCCTCTGTTAATGGATCTTAGGATTGCATTATCTTTTTTGGCTGCTGTTGTACATGGCTGGGTCATATTTATCTGGTTGTCCACTAAGACTCCAAGATCCCTCTCACAGTTCCTGCTATTGAGCCTGGTTTCACCCAGTCTTTTTAAGAAGACACTGCACAACCATTTGTCCAGAATGGTATAGAGACTCTTCTGTTTGGGCAGGTGGTTGGACTAGACCAGTGGTTGCCAACCAGTGGGCCGGGGACTACTGGTGGTCCGCAAGAAAATTTTGGTGGCCACAGAGAAATGTCACCCCCAAAGCAATTAATCCAGGCTGCATGGGAACACAAGGCTGCGCCGCCCACATGGCCCGCGAGAACACAAGGCTTGTGTCACTTGCATTGCGCACAACACAAGGTAGTGAGGGAAGGGGGGAAGGGTGGAGGGGAAGAACTTGCCCCACTCGCCCCACACACCTCACCTGGCCACTGGACTGCTTCTTTCGGCTTCTTTCTTCTTCTGCTTTTGGCTGCACGCAAGGAAAGCACCAATGTTTTTTCTTTCTCTCTCCCAAACTCCACCAGAAACGAGTCTTTGGGATCCTGCAAGGCATCCTGCTCCAAGAGGCTGAGCCATTTTGGTGGAGTTTGGGGGAGAAAGACTTCTGCTGCTTTCCTTGCATGAAGCCAAAAGTCTCTCTCTTTCTCTCTCCCCCTGAGAACGGAGCTGGAGACGGTATCCTGAGATCCCAAATAAAGAATGATCGATCAGTAGAAAAACGGGATGGGGAATTTTCCTGCAGACTTTTTTTGGGATTTTCCCAGGGTCTCTGGTCCGCGGGATTTAAAATTATGAGTTTGGTGGTCCCTGAGGTCCAAAAGTTGGTAACCCCTGGACTAGATGACTTCTAAGGTCCCTTCCAACTTTGTTATTCTGTGATGAAGTCACTGCCTCCAACTCTAAGAAGCAGAGGGGAAAGGAGGAAGCCTGGGCGGAAATCTTTATTTATTTGCTTGCTCACTTGTTTATTTAAATGTATTGGCTGCCCAACTCATTCTGGACAGTGTACAAAACCTCAAGAAAAAACAACAACCACTGGAAAACCAGCTAAAAACTATAAACAAACAAGTAGCCCAAGCTACTGTAAGATGATCTAGTCAAGAACAAAAGAAGGGCAAATGCTGGGGAATCAGGTTGAGACAGGCATCTTTTTAACATGTTAAAGGAGTTGGATTTGGTCAAGCAGGCAGACATTCAACAGGAATAGCCCGGATTCAGCAGAGGAAGAAGCTGGATTTCGCCTTTCATTCGAGATGGATTTTTACAGCTGTCCCAAAGGTGCTTTTTCAAGAGGCAACTGGACTTCGTTTTTTTTCTTTTTTTCTTTTGAAGACGTTTCGTTTCTCGTCCCACAAACTTCTGGAAGTTTTTAAGAAGAGATTGGATAACCATTTGTCTGAAATGGGTATAGAGTTTCCTGCCTAATCAGGGGGTTGGACTAGATGACCTCCAAGGTCCCTTCCAACTCTGTTTATTCTATTCTATTCTATTCTATTCTATTCTATTCTATTCTATTCCATTCCATATTTTCTATTCTGTTCTATTCTATTCTATTCTATTTCTATTCTATTCCATATTTTCTATTCTATTCTATTCTATATTTTCTATTCTATTCCATATTTTT